TCGATCACTACCACAAACAAAGCATTGTCAGTGGTCCAGTACTTTACGTGAAAAGCTAAAGTTTAGGAAAGAAAAATGTTATTCTATCAGGACAACTGTTACGAAACAATCTCAAAGTGAGATTTACGTAGCTTCACCGTAACATTATTTTTGCGAATATGTTATAAAGCCGGAAGAAGAAGAGTCATAAAAACTAGAAATATGACCCGCGCTTGGTGCGGGATTAAAACTGTATTAAAAAATTATGTTTCAAGGCTATAAGAGATTGTTATAAATCGTTAATGTTTATTTAAACTGAAAGATGTTTAAACTTTTTGTAAGTATTTTACATGAAAAGTATAAATTGGGTGAACGAACTTTTGATACGATGGATGCATTGCGACCATTTTAAATTAAACGAAGAAGGTACGTAGTTGGACGCATGGTAGTTGATACGAAATCTATTATCAATGTATCCTGCAAAACATCACGGAAAATAATAAAAACAATTCTGACAGATGACAGTAAAATAGTGAGACAAACTTGTACTAAACGTACAAACAGGACAAATACTAATTAAGGGAAAATAACCAAGAATAAAAAGATGAGGCTTTTCAAAGCCTACAAATAGAATCACCAAGCAATTTTCCAAAGCATTAAGTGATTTTTTGCAATCCTTCTTCGTAAATTTACAAAAAAACACAGGAAAATATATATAAGCAACTAATAAGCTAAAAAGCTGATACAAATTAAGAAAAAGCATTGAAATTAAAAACAATACAATATTTTAACACAAATTGAATGATTCAAATCTCTGTATAGTTATCAATAAAACAGGTGAGTGCATTTTCAACTCTTTGGGTTATTTACTTGAGGTAGATTACACCCTTCACATGCTCGGTGAGGAAAACCAAAACCAATTAATAGCAAATTTAAGGAAAACATCCATTCTAAATATGAAACGAAAGCACATATGTCAAGTCAATCTTCTTACTATATTCATTTTCATCCAATGATCAAAATCAAATTAAATTATACCTCTACTTTGTAACGTTTTGATTTTGTTTTATCTGCAGCTAAACCAAAATTTCGACGGTTCCCAGTATAATTATGTGAAACCAGATAGCAACACCATGTAAAAGTCATATTGGGTGTCCACACCCACACCTATCAATTTACACATAAATTTGAACTTTGAATTACTTGGGTTTCAAAAATATTTGCACAAAAATTTGAAAAAAGATGAATAAATTGAAACAAAGTAATATCCACTGGCAATTGAGACTGACCCAAACCTGTTATCAAGCTCTGCTATACGAAATAGAAGGGCTGCTAAGAGAACTGTGCAGCATCGACAAAGTCTAGAACAACCTAGATATTTACAAAAGTCAAATTTACAGCCCAAAGAAGCAATTATTTACTGAATTATAAAGAAAAATCTTCACAAAATAGTGTCTAGTTTTACAAATAAATGAAACCCAAATTAAATTTCTTGATAAAAACTAAAAGCTTGAAAGATTAACTGATTAAAAAAAACGCATGAATCCTACCATAGAAAAGATGCAAACTTTTGCATTGGCAAACGATTCATAATCTAAAAATGATATCTTAAACAGAACACATTAATCCAAGTCAAAAGTTCCCAAATTTAAATCAACCAATACGAACAAAATATAAAACATGGTTCATTGTTTCTCTTTGCATTTTAAATCACATGGTGTTTCCCAATATACTATGTCTTAACATTTCTTATACTCATGCATTAGATAAAAAATGATACCATGCTAAAATTACATGGACTGCTTTATCACGGTTTAAGGAAGCAACCCCAAATCATAGTATCTACATATTTTTTCAGATTATCTAAAACACTTAAGCAAAACCATCACTTCTCCAATGAAGCCATGTGAGGTGAGCACCTGAATCGACAATGAAGAAACAAAGAAATCAATCTTCGATCACCAAACAAAGATTCAAACCCAAAGCTGTGTAATTCATCAAAAAAATTGACAGAATTGATGAACAAATTGACACAATCGATTGAAGAAAGTGCAAAAATTATTAAACCTGATCTTCTGGACGCGATGCGATGGGGAGAAATCACATCAACCAGCAACCAATCATGCATCCATAACCTTCCAATACGCAAGAAATCGAAATAAAAATGGAGCTCCAGAAATCACACGAAACATAATTTAAAGTTGTGAATCAACAAAACACAGAATTCTGAATAGATCTGCTTGTCTAATAACAAATCAAATTGACAGCAGCAATTCTTTGTTCTACGTTCTTCCAATGATGATCGGGCAATACTGTTGTTAACGTAGATAAAGGTAAAGGACACAAACCTATAACAACTAATTCAAATATATTCCTTTCAATCTATAAACTAATTCAAAGATTTGCTCTTCCTAGATATCTAAGGAAAGGAATAACATCTCTAATGTTGTCAATACCAGTAGCAACAGAACCATCCGTTCAAATCCTAAACCAAAACCACAATGTTTGACAGCCCCGAAGCGCAGCAAGTCAATGTACCACTCATATGGCTCAGCAGCAAAGATAAAATCTTTTGCAACACATAAATGGAAACACCAAGTCATCCAACCATAAAACAACACAGCAACGACACCAAAATTAAAAATAAATAAATCCCACAGATTGGACTTTCACACTATAGAAAACATAACTTTCACAATATTAAAAAATACAATTTGTTGCAGAAAATGCGTAAAAAACCGAAATTATTTACCTTGAACATAATTGGCTTCCAAGCTTGTATACAGAAGCCCCAAAAAACGAAAAGCACAGTGACCTGAAACAAAACACAGAAGCAAATCATACAACCAAACAACAGATCTAAGGATATAAACAAAACACCCAAAATTACAAAAACTAAATTGCAAATAACGTAGAGCAACGCGTTCTGAAACGAAAAACACAAACAAATCATCGACCCGGACAGCGGATCTAATGATATAAAGAAAATACCCAGAATAAGAAAAAAAAAAAATTCATCCACAAATCCCACCTCAACATGGAAAACTACCAGAAAAAAAAAGTTAAAAAATACTCACCAATAAACGACGGTGGACCTTGGAGGTAACAAATCACCCTGATAAAATGGAAAAACCAACCAAGACGAAAATTAATAGAAATAAATTATTGAAATTAACACCCAAATTCCAGAAATGAAGAAAAATAGAACCTTAATATGGAAATTGAAGCTTTACTTGCAGATCGGCAACGGCAAACGACATCCAGTGGCAGGGTACCTCAAGAGTGAGAGAGACAGCTGAGAGATGAGTGAGAGACGCAGAGAGAAGTCGAGATTTGAGAGCGATAGAAACAGACTTTTGTGAGAGAGAAAAGTGAATACGGAAGGAAAAGTGCAGAAAATGTCAAAGCATAACTTTTTACTGATGATCGACGCGTGGGCAAGGCGGGCAAATCCAGAAGACGGAGAGGATAAATGCGTGGCCTCGGAGGGTAAGGAAGTCATTTCACTGTAGAAAAGAAGGCAAAAAAGTGACTTAACAAACGAATTGAGGGGTATTTTGGTCCGCACACTGCTCTAAAACAGTAACCATATGTTTGGGTTTTAGTATATATAGAATGTGAGGTGGTATAGGAGAGATTTTCGGGGTATTCAGAACATGAAGTGATACATCATATGTTATTATACAAGTGATGAAATACTTTTGTTAAAAATTAACGATTTATAAATAAAAACTTTCCTCTACTTATGTGAAATAACGTTCTTTAGTTCATCACGTCAGGTGAAAATATTATCTTTCTCCATTTGATCATAATGGAGGGTGTAACTATTTAAACTTATCCGATTATATAACACTACTGTTTAATTTTTAATTGTTATGTAAATAATCATGTGAAGGCTCATATTATAACTCTTAGAATTTGTAATTAAGTTGGTTAAAAAAATTTAATTTTATATTTTTAAAACATAATAACAAGAAAAAAGGTCTATAATTATTTCAATAATTTAAAAAAGTGAGACAGTTTTGAATCTAAAATATATGAGTAAATTACCAACAATCATTACTTTAGTCTAAAGAAGGCTTTTCAATTGCACTGTACAAATGAACAGTGTTTTAAACCACATTTCAGTTTATTTACAAGATTGCCACTCGGATGCTTTTAACCACCTTTCACTTAATTTACAAAATTGCCACTCAGGCTTAAAAACCTATTTTCAGCCGTTGGCTGCATTTGACGTTTGAATCGGCGAGAGAGAGGGGAGGGGGACATCACGCCTGACAAATTGGAGAGAGACAATCGCTCCCATTTTTTACTCGGAGACAGCTGGGTGTGCCTCTGGCGAGCGGAGAGAGGGGGATAGAGCGACTACAGAGGAGGGAGACACAGAGCCTGACAGATTGGAGAGAGATGGGAGCTATGAGTTTGGACGGAGTGAGAGAGATATTTAGGTAGGTGCTCTGCCAGGCTCTCTCGGCCGCTAATCTTGATGCACACGTGTTGATGATCGTGGGAAGGGAAGAACGATGGTAAAGCTGGCCCTTTCCATTTCCTTCTCAAAGCCTCATTGCCTCTTCCGTCTCGCAGACCCTGCGAGAACGACGGTCTCTCCTCCATCCTATCCTCCAGTCGCCGCCGTCTCCCTTCTCTAGGTAGGGTGTTGTGCGTGTGCAGTCATGCTTGATGATCGTGGAAGCCAGCGATTCAGCTTCTACGACATAGCCTCGACTCTACTTCCATCTCCATTTTCTCTCCTCGCCTTCTCTCTCAGAAATCACCAACGAGCTTAAAAACCACCAAGCCGTTAGAAATCTCTTCGATTCTCTCTCAGAAACTACGAAGCACAACGACCTCTTGCTGAAAAACCGTGAATTTAGTCCCACTTCGAAGGAAATTTTAAGCCCATAAAAGCCTTGGTTTCCTGGTGAGTTCTCCAGCCGATTTGGAGTAGGTAATTTTATGATTTGCAGTTTATTTTGGGAAATGATTGACGGGTTTGCAGTTCATTTTACCATTTCTAGAATATTTGCAGTTTATTTTGGGGGTTTACACTAAAATTGAGGAAGCATATATGAACGCAAAGGCTCGAGGATGTACGACAACTTGGATATGATAGGGTACAAGCTATGACATTTCTGTAAATTCAGTTTCTTTTTTCTTTTCATTTTAGGGGTTTTTTTTTAACTGTTTTAGTTTTTGGGTTTTGTCTAATTTTTTGTGGTCTGCTTTATGGATTGTTCTCTTTTGGAAGCTTATTTCCAGCCTTGAGCTTCTTCTTGCCAAAAGAGTGTTGGATTGATTTTTCCTCCTCAAATCAAGGGTTGGTGTCGGGATTGAGGGGTGGGTCCAAAATGGGTATGGTTCTGAGGGAAAGAGGGATGGCAGAGACAGAGGTCATGGAGTTGGGCGTGGGAATTCCAAAAATCAAGGGCTGCTGTCAATGGGTGTTAATATCAGCAATGAGCATGATTGGGATGTGAGTTCTCTCAACCTTTTGATTAATTTTTTATATTTTGGCTTTTTATATAAGACATGTAGCAGCTGAGATTCAAAGCTGCTTCGCTTTCTTTCTCAAGTGTTTCATCAAGGAAGAAGATGGTTAGTTAGTTCTCTATTTTTCAAAAAAATAAAAAAAAATCATCATTTGAAGAATTTTGGGAAAGTTTTGAGATTTTGAGCTTATGATTCATATTTTGTAAACCAAATGAACCCAAGATCCGGATTCCGAAATCTTCAGGACCTGTAGAAGAGGAATATGCCATTGAGATTATTCTTAGTGCGTGCTGAAACAGAATCTCAACAAGACATTACGCTGTTGATTTAATAATCAACTATAGTATTGTGGTCTGAATTCTTTCTTATTAAATTCAGCTGGTATTTTACCCATATTAAGATCTGTATGTGCATCATTTGTTTTTGAGGTCTCTAATCCCAAAGTCTTTTTTGTCAAATCCTTTTAGGAAATTAGCATGTCAAATCACGTTTGTTGATCTTTTTTCGAAGCATATTCACTGAGTACACTACCTGCATAATACAGGCTTATATAATACAAGCTTAGGAAACTATCAGAATTTTTATGTTTGGGAATGAGCTTCCTGCCAAAAGAGAGGTAATTGTCTTATATCTTCTTCTCTCTTTGTGTTTATATTTTTTTTCCTGAGTTGTGTTCGAATATGACAAACAAGAACTACAAAGGCAGCTAAGAATATCCAGCCATCGATTAGATGTTGAAGAATTAATTGGTCGTAGATCTTGGATTTGTAGTGTTTTCATTTCGGAAACATGTGAGACTTTATGCATCATGTATATCTGTGCAATTTTATATCCCTTATATATTTACAGAGCTGTGGCAAAGCTTCTCATAGTCATCAGGATGGTAAAGGTTTTAAAAATGTCTAATTTTATTCACATGTGTATTCTTTTTCATGTGTATAAGCAAATGTACATGCATAGGCATGGTGTGTGCGTGTTTCTTCTTTGCTTTACTTTTATTTTTATTGAGATTTGGTCAATATTAAATTCAAATTGATATTTTAGACTTTACTCCTTTTCGTAACCCAACATGTAAAGGGTTAATTCTATTTTTAGGTTGCAGGAAAATACGGTGTATAATCTTGGGAGTGCTTTCGATTCTACTCTCATCTCTAATATGAATATAGGTTACAACCCTGCCCTGTGTAATCCAGAAGCTAAAATCACACCCTTTCAATCTGAACTTCATCGTAGATGTACTCTCTTTCCCTCTTAATTGCTTCTTAGGGCTTCCCTGTTTTGATTTCATCCAATTTGTTAAATTTATTGTTAATTTCAGGGTACTACCATTTTTCTGCTGACTTTGATTCCACACTTCAGAAAGGTATGCCTCTAATTTATGATAAATTTTGCCAATTTGCTTCTTGATTTGGAAAGGTATGACTCCAATTACTTTGTTTTCCAAAGCCATCATAGCATCTGCAACCTCAGTTGTAGAACAAAAGCTAATCCAATTGCTAATCTTAGCATCTGCATCACCAATTCACCATTATCTTTTGATTTTGAGTGCCTTTATCGAATAGAGGGCAACTACACAGTTTTATGTCTTCGATATACAAATATCAACGCTGATTTCTTTTGTTTACTAAATACATGCATAATCTGTGGTTCGTTTGAACTTTGATATATGTCAAAACTTATAATAAAGGTACTGGGACGTTGTTTGGAACAGAGTTGGAGGTGACGATGTGGTGGAAAAGTAAGTCCTCTTACTTTCCTCTCTAGCACATACTACATAATCTTTCCAACTTTGACTAGAATTATATCCACAACTCATTTGCTGGCTACAAGAACTGGATATAGAGTAATGGTTTAATAATGGTTTTAGAATGGTAAATGATCCCAGAAGCAACATGGAATTCAATAGTTGATATTTTGACTATAATTACTTTTTGACACTAACGGCTTGCCACTGGTAGCTTCTTAAGCGGAAGATCCTATTCAATTCCTTATCTCATTGTTGGATTTGCCATTCAATTCCTTATCTTACTTTTGTATTTTTCATGGAGTTTGGGTGCACAATTACAAGGAGAGAAAGAGAGGGTGGGTGCAGTCATTTTCTCTTTCTATATCTTTCCTTTCCCAATTTGCGTCTCTGGTTGTTGGCGTTCGTCTTCCTCCTCAAGGTAAGGACCTTTCAATCAATTTCTGAAGATTTAATATGGGTTTTATTGTTTTAGTTCGAACATTCACGGATCTATGAGCAATAGTTTCAGATCTAATGGTTTTGTTTTCGAATTTTCCTAGCTGTGTAGTTCACCATTTTTTTTGCTTCTGAATCTGAAAAATAGATTGAATTTTTTATATTTTTTTATTGCTGTAGACATAACCCAGAATTTATTTTTTCATTTGGTGAATTGGGTTTGGTTGTTGCTCTCTGCATCTACAGAACGTTGTTCTACCATGCCTGGGTTTTCGAAGTTCAATCCAATTTAACGCTTCATCAACTCCACTTAAAGTTTCCTGCATCTCTCTCTCCTCAAATTCTTGGCCAAATAATTTTATAAGCTTCAGGGAAATGATGCTAAAAGTGCTTAAGCTTATCTATCTGTTTATTTATTTTAACTTTTGTTTTAGTTGTTTTTAGAATGAGTACAATTGAATTGCTTGCCTGATTATTTGGTAAAAGTGCTTTTCTGCGAATAATCATTTGTTAAATGTGTTTTTCTGTGAATAATCATTTGTTAGATATGCTTTTGCATTTGAAGATTGACATTCATGTTGCAAGAATTAAGTTGTGATAGATTATTCTGTAGTCCAATTGCGAATGTGTTGATGAAGAGCTGGAACATGTATACACCTGCTTTTAACAACTCTGATTGTTAGGGTTTTCTGGTTTGTTAATTTGGTATTTCCTAAATCTTCACTTTTAGGTTGAGGAGAAAATTGCAAGTTTTTAGGTGTAAATTGTATAGATTTTTTTGTCAATTTTATTCTTCATTCTGAAATTTGTGTAATTGGTTGGCTCAAATCTTTATATGGATTGCTTTGTGTGATTGGTTGACTCAAATTTTTCATATTCCTTTGTATGGATTAATTTGTGTAATTGCTTGGCTCAAATCTTTATTTGATCTAACTATTCCAATTTGGCTAATTTGGTTTTTAATTTTTGTTTAGGTTTGATTATATTGGGGTTGAATTCTAAAGTGAGGGTGTGGGGGGAATAAGGGTGCAGGATGTGCGCGTAGGGTGCAGGGGTTTCAGGGGTGGTAGGGGGTGGGGTGCGCCTGTGAATTGCGGAGCTGCTCAGCTCTTCCTCTATAAGATGAGTTTCATCCCTGCCTTAATTCACTTAAATCCTGTGATTTCATGCCTTTTTTTGTTCTGATTCTGAGAGCATGTTTCAGATGGTGGTTTAAATTTTTGCTTTGTTCTGCCTCTAGACAGCCGCCACCACCACTTTGTCCAAATCTGATGGCTCAGGCTGTAGCATCTGCGTGAATCTCCCCGTACAATTGGACTCCGCAATGTTTTCCAAATAAACTCCAAACTCCGAAGGTGCAGCTGAAAAGTTAGAATCTGAGGCAATCAAATCCAATCCAGGGAAGAGATTGGATAGCTTCTGAGGTGTGGCTATGATCTGCTCCGACAATTCCAAATGGAGATGAGTTGATTCTTGACATGACTCAGCGTGTGCTCAACACTAAACCTCTTTTTCACATCGAACATAATACTATATATTTCCTTTTTTTTTTATCCATAAAGTTTAGAGGACAAGCAAGGTTTGATGAGAATTTTCAGTAGAATTGTAGATTTCATTTTTAAAGATTTAAAAAAAAAATATTCAACTATCAACTACCACATCATATGTTCTACAAATATTATCTAAAAAGATGATCTATCTACCTTCACCCATTGGTGAGCACTCAAATATTTTGCATGAGTTATATATAAAATGGGAAAATCATATATTTAAAAAAAAATTATTGTGTAATGTTTTCAGTTTCATTTTATAGTCTTAATGTGTTTACAGTGTCAAACTCCAGCCTTTTATGGTTAGTCATTTGCATGCAAAAATTAATGAATTATATATATGTACCAAGCTTGTGGCCTTGTTGATCGTATCAGCATCAAAACCGCCAAGATCTGCACCATCAAGCACAGAAAGCAACACATCTATAATATCCTGCTCTCCTTTTGCATCACCTTTTGCTCTTCTCTGCTATGCTCTTCAACCCACTCTCCAGCTATGGCGTCCAATTCCTTTGCAATTTTCTTCATTACCTTCTCATGTCCACCCAAATCCAACCACCGCAGATACGGAACCGCATCACCCACCAAAAAACATGCCCAGATAATAAAAAAACTCCCTCAATGCAGTCTGAACCCCACGAGCTTCTTTCTTCCCATCCCCATCGACAGCTATTGAATACCGCTTTCCAGCCACCATTGTAAGGATCACGTTCAGCGACATGTCCCCAACCCCAAGCCATTGCTTCAGCTCTACAACCACTCCATCTTTCGAGCCCTCCTTTTCTTTTGTACTCCAAAGTTCGTGCAACTCTTTCAAGAAAGTAGTCACTTCCGATACTCGAATGTGCTTGAGCAGCTCAACCTTCCGGATTGAGAGCAACTCCAAGGTGACGAACTTGCGAATTTCTCGCCATTAGGGTCCAAATGGTCCGACCCCAAACATGGCGTAGTTGTAGCTAATGTGGGCTAGAGCCGCCATCTTTGGGTGCGAGTTTAGGCCCAAGTCATTGGTTGTGTAGCATTCTTTTGCGATCTCACTGCTGCTTATCACCAACGACGGATGGACGCCAAGGTAGATAGCGAAAATGGGTCCGTACTTGTCTGCCGTGGCTCCCAAAGTTATGAGAGGAGGTGTGGAGCCTCCAAACAAACGAAGGTGACCAAATATATAGGCCATCCACCCTTGGCTTCAGGTGGTGATAATTTTCCCTTGTAATTGGCAGCTCTCCATCTTCGTGATAAGTAATACACGATGATTATTGTGAATAATCCAGCAGTGATAGAGTTTGCATAAGGGAGAGAATCCATTATTGCAGCTTTTTGTGTTATTAGCACCCTGTCATACATGTATATAGGAGTAATATGTGCTCGTTTAATACCCTATGTTTGGATTGAAATGAATAATTCTTTATTTTCAAGGCATATCGATGGGAGAAAAGAAAAAACTGACCAACTAAAAGGTAGATGATAGGTTTAAAAGGTATTAGTTTTCCTCCTGACCACGTATGTTAATAAAAAAGAATCTTGGGTTTTAAACAGTGATTCGATTGATGATGATGTTATATTAAGTTTGACTCGTTGTGATCAATTGTATCATATGTCTTTTCATTCAGTGGAAAATTAATTTTATGACATAGATGTTGTGACCTCCTATTTATGAAAAGATTTTTTAATATACCAGAAATAGAAACGAGTACATTAAATGTAATAATATAATTTGATTTGATTGATCCCGATAGATTGTGAGAGAGGAATCCGAAGAAAACCTCAATCAAAATAGGAGGACAATATTAACCAAGTTCTATTGAAACGGCTAGTTTGTCTGGTAGTGCATGTTGTAAAGAATCAAACTTGAACGCTGGAATTGAAGAATTCTGGAATACATTCGTATAACTAAACAATACTTATAACTAACCAATATTTATGACTAAACAATCTCCTATGAAAATGAATTTTTTGTAAAAATGACCTTCAATTGAAAATTAAAAAATCAAATGATTCTATTTATAAAGTTTATATGATGAGGATATGTTATTCACAACAGGTAAAATGAATTGGAAAACACAAGTATTGTTCATTATTTTACCAGAAAACTAAATGTGGAATAAACGAAAGCATCAAGCTCATTAGTCAAATGTGGTGACTTTCTCCGTGAAATCTAGCTAGCCTTTCTTTCTCATTTGTCCATAGAATTTTACTTTCCACCAATGCTTTGAACTCTCATTTTTTTTTAACTTATTATAATAAATTCGAACGCTTCTCTTCTCCTTAATAATTAAAAAAAAAAAAAGAAGCTTATCACCATAAATTTTAACAAAGCAGCTACGCCAACGTCTATAAAAGCAGCTAGGCAGAAGTGGACCTCCAACGTCTATACTAGACAGAAGTGGACCTCCAACGTCTATACTAGACAGAAGTGGACCTCCAACGTCTATAATTGATGGAAAAGGATCCTCCCGGATCATTTTCCTGAGGATTGTGGGAATTTCGTGATCGTGGTCGTTTATCGTACATTGTACGGTAAAAAATTATTTAAAATTAAATATAAATAGTATCTAACGAAAACTGACCGTACAATGTACGATAAACGATCATGATCACGTAATCCCCGAAATCCCAGAAAAGGGATCCGTCAAGGATTCTTTTCCGAGAGTCAACATATTTTTTTGTGATTTTTATTTCCTTTTATTTTAATAAATTGTAGACTTTTGATTATTTTTTTTTATCAATGTTGACTTTTGTTAAGGATAATACTAGGAAAACTAAATTTGTAGACAAAATTTTGAAAATTAAAGGATATGGAAGTTGATGATTGTTTTATTACTTGAACGTTGATAAACATGTTTATTCCTATTGGTGACACATCATTTAGTTTGTAAATTTAATCTCCCTAACATTACTCTTTGATTAAACATTAATACAAATTAGGTGCCACATGCCATCGTTTTTTATCATAATTAAAAATAAAATAAAATAATTCAGATGAAGCATTTGTTTTTTAAATTACTATTTTGTGTCCCAAAACGACAACCAATTGCAGTATTTGTTTTAACCTGTGCCTAGGAAAAGTCTAACATATAGCACATCTTCAATTTAAGGGAGGGACTATAAGACTTTCAAATATACGGAATGGATAAATTTTACAACAAAAATTTTAATGTGCAATATAATAAAATTGATCCCCAAATCAAAAATCAAAAACCCTAATTTATCCCCTGATTCGAAAATAAAAAACCCTAAATCTTGAACATTAACAGTTGAATCGAGAGAATTGATTGAAATTGACGGAACTCTACGTCGACAACTGAAACAAAAGCAATTTTCGTCGAGTTGTAAGAGGGCGAAGAGAGAAAGGTGGTCGACAGCTACCTGAATAGCGGAATGGGTGGTGGAGGGTCAAGGGGAGAGAGAGTTTGTGCAAGCCGATGATGGAAGATGAAATTGATGGAACTGGGTGATAAATTTCACGATGCCAGGTCACCAAAAAAGGTGTGGTGCGGTGTCGCTGGATAAGAAATAGAGCGATAGAGGGTCAAAGTTGTCATAGGGAGGGACTTGGAGTCTAGAAAGGTTTTTTGTTGTGAGAAAGAGTTTTTTTTATTTTTTTTATTTTTTTTAAATTTTTTTGTTTGAGAAGAAAAGAAAAAAAAAAAAAAAAAGAGTTTTATTTTTTATGAACGGTGAGACCTAATCACATAAATTGGACAGGGAGTCTACAAATGGACCAATTTATTGTGTCCTATTTGTGTACTGGCGAATGGGTGGGTTCTTTTGAAAAACCAAAAAGCCGGAGGCAATAGGCCCAACATAGAGCCCAATCAAAAATGTAATAAAGAGGTATTTTACTATTTTGGTGTACTTTTTTATTGCTAGTGTTACAAGGGAAAGTCAATATACTCTGCGTAATATGCCCATTCCCAAATACTCATAAGCTCTTTATTGATTTTATGACCATAAAGATGGACAAATATCTGTATATAATCAATAACAACGAAAAATCTCTTCTTCATACAAATAATATTATATATTTTCTTCTTTTATTTATATAATTCAAAAAACAAGCGAGGTTTGATAAGAACTTTGAGTGGAGTAGCCTTCACGTTGGTCAGCCCAAAACTCTCCGTCATATCAATTGGTGCACTAGATGGGTTCGAGATTTCAAACGCATGTAGAAAGCTAGCCAATGTAAATTGCACAATTTGAAGGCCAAATGCCAAACCAGGGCATGCTCTTCTACCACTTCCAAATGGAATCAACTCAAAATGATGACCCTTCACATCAACATCCTTATGGGTGGTAAGAAATCTCTCTGGCTTGAACTCGAATGGATCGGGCCAATTTTTAGGGTCTGTTTGGAGCTTCCAGAGGTTCATGATCAACCGGGTGCCCTTTCGAATATGGCACCCAGCAATGGTGCAATCCTCAGTGAATTCACGTGGCCCTGATAATGGTGCTGCTGGGTATAAACGTAATGTCTCCTTTACAATAGCTTGGATGTAGACCAAGTTGCTTATATCTTCTTCACTCACAACTCTTTGTCTGCCTATTTTCGTGTCCAGTTCGTTTAGGGCTCTCTTCAGAATGTGAGGGTTGTTCACCAACAATGATATTGCCCACGTTAATGTCACCATGGTGGTATCGGTACCTCCTGCAATCATATTCTGCTCAAGGAATATTTGATTAATTAATTAGGATATATAAATTCTTAAGAGTGAGGTTACATCTGTACAATTTTACATTGATAATTTTCTTGTCTTTATCTTATTTAGGTGAAAATATATATTAAAATGTTAAAATATGTCCCACCTTAACTACTAAGTAGACAAACTTATACTGTTTGTACACATTGGTGAGCACTCAAATATTATAAAATTGGAAATCATCTTAAAATTCATTCCAGATAGCCACCCCAATATGTAGTGAAAGTAATTATAAATTCCATTTTTACATGATGTCTATATGAGAAATATGTCAAAATCATTGTACTATTAATCACTATATCATTGAAATGAAAGTTTATTGACAATCCAAAACAGTTCTCAGCAATTAACAGTACATTGTTAATAATAAGAAATTGTACATGATTTTAGAATATACAGAAAATTTCTTGTTTAGATTTTCATTTTCTTTTATAGACCATGCAATTAGCTTAATTAAGTAATGAAGGTAAAAATAAAATCTTAATGTGTTTGGTGTCTAACTCCAGTCTTTTATGGTTAATTATTTGCATGCAAAAATTAATGAATTATATATAATTACCAAGCTTGTGGCTTTGTTGATCGTATCAGCATCAAAACCGCCAAGGTCTGCACCATCAAGCACAGAAAGCATCGCATCTATGAAGTCCTGCTCTCCCTTTGCACCACCTTTTGCTCTCCTCTGCTTATGCTCTTCAACCCACTCTCCAACAATGGCGTCCAATTCCTTTGCAGTTTTCTTCATTGCCTTCTCATGCCCACCCAAATCCAACCACCGCAG